GTGTGTGTGTGTGTGTTTTAAAGCATGACTCAGCCCTGTAAACATCAGCTCCTGTCAGGACTTTATGCTTTACCAAAACCACAACTGGGAGAGCATGTGAAGCAAACGACCACTAGGCCCCACTGGAGTTGGTTTCCTACCATTAGAGTCCATCACTCAAGTGCAAATTGACGGAGAATAAGAGCAGAGCGGGGTCTGGCGTCTTGAGAAATGGCTATTTGATTTTTGTGATGCAATTGTCAGTGCATAAATATCAATGAGCCGTGCCATCTGAAGGGGACTCTATGGTTGAATGAGAGAGGTGAGATAGTAGGAGGCTGTAAATCTCACTGTGGCACATGTATGATTTCATGCAGGAGTGTGTATGCCTGTGTTCACAAGTGTATATGTGAATGTGTTTGAGAAGAATTCTGATTGAATTAACACACTGCTAAACATTATGATGTAAGAACATTTTGTGAGTTATTCTGTAAAATGTTTAGATTGGAAGAGCCTCTCACTCTAAACTGCTTTTGGCAAGCAGAGGACAGTGAAAGTAAGTTTACTCGAAGGGCTTATATGTGGAATGATCCTTCTAAGAGCAGGTGTTCCAGATGTTTTTTTTTTAATTCTGTTGAATACAAAACTAATTTTAGCAGTCTAAAAAATGACTGTGGGATTATACACTATGTTCTGTATGTTGTAACACCACCGTGGCTCCCTCCAAAAATAATATAGTTCAAGTTTATTTATTTAAATATTTGCTTCCCGTCCAAGTTTTTCTTGTAAAGCTAAACTGAAAGAGAAAAGTCACTCCAGAAACAAACAGAAAGAAGTCTGGTTAGCATCTCTAGCACAGAGGAGATGGAGATTGAACCTCCTACTGCCTGCTCATCATGAAAAGAAAAATGTATATACGTTTCATTTATATGCATTTCTGACAGTACACATGAATGAGTAGGAGCCAAATCTCCCAGCACTACACTGATTACACACGGTACATGAAGAATTACAATGATAGTGTTATTTGACTTGTCTCAGGTTGGGTGGTGGGATCTTTGGAGATCCTGGGCAGCCCCGCCAGCCTGGTGCGGAGCATTGGAAACGGCGTGTCCGACTTCTTCCGGCTGCCGTATGAGGGCCTGACCCGCGGGCCTGGAGCCTTCGTCAGCGGGGTGTCCAGAGGGACCACCTCCTTCGTCAAGCACATCTCCAAAGGTATCACAGATGTTCATAGTGTTTTTCTTCATTTTATCACACATTTGTATTTGTGGTAAAAATATTGTGTAAAAGCTTGATTTATATCTCACACATACATTATCTGATAAACACTGTTTGTATTCAGGTTGTCATCACGCAGTAGCACAACATTTATTGAATAAGCTTTGAGCTGTGTGAACAGTTTTTGGCAGAAATGGCTGACAGGACATAACTTATCTGTAAAGAAAGTCAAACTTACTTACTGTATACCAAAATATTTGTCAGTCCCCTGGTGTGCAGAGGTGTCAGAGTATCTTTAAACAAGAAACTTCATTAATCCTTCAAATAAATACATTTTGAGCATGATGTATTTCTCTTCAGAGAATGTCCCTGTTTTAATCTTGGAATGATTAATTAATTTATTTGATTAATTATAATATAATAATATATTATTCATTTATAATGACCTTCACCACCCGTCTCCACTTACCGGCAGCGTTCATAATGTCACTGCAAACATCGAACATTGAGTCTGAACATGTCACATTTGTGTTTAGGCACGCTGACGTCCATCACCAACTTGGCAACAAGCCTGGCCAGGAACATGGACCGTCTGTCTCTGGATGAGGAGCACTACACCAGGCAGGAGGAGTGGAGACGGCAGCTACCAGAGAGCCTCGGGGACGGGCTGAGGCAGGGGCTGTCACGACTCGGCATTAGCTTGTTAGGTACGTGGACACACACTTGTGTAATCATTATTTTTTACACTTGAGGCTTTGCAACATTCTTATCAGGAATACAGCAGCACTTTGTGAGAATATTTTTGTCAGAGACAAAGACATTTAGTTGAGTTGTCCAAATCTATTCCTGGTCCTCCAGCTCACTTATTTACCCCACACTATAAGGAATCTTCTGAAGTTTCTGCAGGTTTCAACAGGTTGAATTTAAGACTTTTTAAGACCATTATGAATGCATTTAAAACCTGTTTCATTTTCTATACTGGCAAAAAAAAGTATGAAGGATATGAAGAAAAATCGCTATTGGTTCCATGACTGTTTCGTTTTGTAGTTGTTCCAGCATGATCAGTACAGACTTTTCCCAAAAAACATTTAAAAGCAAGACTGAAAAATTCCACTTTGTCCAAGTAATCCCAATTTAATTAATATAATCAGTATTTAAGACCTGTCAAAATATATGAAGTATAATATATTTAAGACATTTTATGGTCTAAAATTCCCATTATTGGATTTTAGACTTTTAGACCCAGTAGACACCCTGAATAACACAAAATAAGTGGTTTTAGATGAGAAATGGCATATATGACAGAATCAGTCCATGTCAATATAATGTTGTTTTCAGTCACATGGTAGTAAGTTATCCAGATATTTGGAAAACAAAATGTTGCAATCCTAAAATTTGGATTCCAGCGAACATAATCACTACAAGTAATAAAACAATCCCAAAAAATACTGTTGGGTTCAAAATTAACAATAAATTACTTTTGTTTTTTTGTTTTATTACTTTCCATCATCAAGCCCGATATAGGACCGCTCTTCCCATACATATCACTCGATACGTATGGAAACCTGCTCTGCCCACACACATTTAATCTGCTGTCCACTGGCATTAAGTCAAAGAGGCGCACACACTGTGGTGAGCACAATTACAGAGAGCTCTGAGAGCGAGCAGTGGAGACAGCACAGCAGGGACTCAATAAACACCCAGAGGGCAGTAAAACCCAAGTCTGTCTCAAATCAGACTCAAAGACACACAGAGCATATCGTCATTGAAACCAAACAGCTGCTCGCAGCGCTCTGGTTTACAGTGGATTATAATTCCTGAGATGCGCTGTCGATCACAAAATCTGTGTCATACAGATATTTCCTGAAGGGCAGAAGCATTTCTGAATTCCTGCGAGTCCCATTTATGACGCTGGATTCTGTTTCCCATGTCTCACTAAAGCTAGATCTCTGAGAGGGTTTGCCCCTTTTTTTTTCTACAAAAGATGTCTTGAATTCTGTCTCCATCCTGTATTTTGCCATTTTAAGTCTTTCATTCAGTAGTTATTTAAAAGCACAATAAATAACCACAAATCTTTGCTTGTTCTTTCAGGAGCAATCGCAGGCATCGTGGACCAGCCAATGCAGAACTTCCAGAGGAACTGGGAGATGCAGAGCTCAGCTGGTAGCAAGGCCAAAGGGGTCATCTCTGGAGTGGGGAAAGGCATTGTGGGGGTTTTCACCAAGCCCATCGGAGGAGCAGCTGAACTGGTGTCCCAGACTGGATACGGTGAGTTCAGGACAGTTCAGTAGAGTGACATGCTGAATTTATTCAGCATGTATTTTGCTTTTGGGGCTGTTTCAGAAGCTGTGTTGCAGGGCTTTTTGTTGGGGGGTAAATGAAGTGCTGGTCATTACAGCTTGATTAATTTTGTTTAATATAATAGCGTCCTTACTTGTCCTGTAGTTCACAAACACATAAAACACAGGGAAATCAAAGCATAATTAGAGCATAATTCTTAGACATGACTAATCCCTTTTGGATACCAACTGAACTTGTAGGATCATTGAAAGCTAATAGCTTTTTTATGTTGTCATGTCTGGCAACAAGCTCCATCGTTTTGTGGGGAAACGTTACATTGAAATGGTTTTGTTAATTTAACCTAAAGCCATTTAAATTACATTTGCAAAAAAAGGAAAAATGTAGCCTGTAGAGCCCATTATCACTGCCACACAGCCGTAAACTGAAGTGTAAAGAGAGATTTTGGCCGTGCAGCAAGGTCTCAAGTTTAACACAACTCAACAAATAGGTCTTATGTACAACTTTCCAGGGAGCCTTAGGCAACAATATTCTTATAAACACATATATGAATTAAAGTTGGTGTGTCAGGAAAATCATAAATCCATCAGTGGATTGACAATCTCTCCCTTTCTCTCCTCTCGGCTTCAGCCAGAAGCCAAGTGTTTATTAGGCTGGGCCTTCAGTAGTGCAGGACCCAGGAGAGAACTACACACACACACACA